CACAGGTCTGTAATGCTTGAACCGCATGATTGATGGCTACATCTGGTTGAAAACTCATGCAGACACTCTCATAGGTGAGGACCCCATGGACCTGGATGTCTAGGTAGGACAACTAACCAGAGCTTGGACAGTATGCCCTGGAGCTCTGGGTCACCGTGCAGCCAATGTGCTTAGAGGGTCTTTTTTTATATACTATGTGTCAGGGCTCCCGGTAAGACCAGAGATGCGTGAACTGACACAGGGAAATGCAGGCTCAAGTATGGTGTAACAATATAATTTATTAAGGGTTATACACAAATATAACGCACAATATAACAAAACCAAACCTCCAACTGATAACGGAATGTACACAGACAAGAGCAGTCAGGGCTGGCGAGGTGGAGTGGTCAGGCGGGCCGGGTCAGGAATCATCGGGCAGACAAGACACAAAGGAGTAGGCAGAGCGTAGTCAGACGGGCCGGGTCAGGAACAATCAGGCAGACAAGGTACCAAAGGAGCAGGCTGGTCAGGAATAGCAGAGGTCAGGACAGGCGGAGTTCATTCAGGGTCAGGATCAAGCAGAATCAGGAATCAGGCAGGAAGCAGACAGGATGCAGGTACAGGGGCTCATGGGAAACATACACCAAGGCCCTGACTGCAGGTCTGGCCATTCCTTAAATACACTTCCTGCAATCAGCCTCAGGTGATGGCTGACTGCAGGAGTGAGCTTCTGGTTGCTGAGAGCACCCGCTGGCCAACCCTGGTACTGCAGCCCACAAGGTAGGTGAGTCCCACCACCATTGACAAGTCCATTCCTGACACTATGTTTTGGAGGATCTCTGGTGCAGCAAAAGGTTTTGTTATGGAGTTGCGAATCCCATTGTCCCAAGAGTGGACTGGCTCACTTTCATTAAAATGAACCAGTCCTAGATTACCATCAACTACAAAACCCCTTAGTCTGATGCTACAGAATAAACTTTTGAGTTGCTCTCCTCGTTCATTTAGACAATATTTGCTTATCCCGGAGCAGGGGCGGACTGACCATTTGGAAACTCGGGCACTGCCTGAGGGCCCTGGGTCAGTAGGGGGCCCCATGAGATGCCCCTGGTACCTTTTTCATAGGCTTTTTTTAGTTTGGGCAAGGACACAGGGGCCCCATGATCCCCTATTGCCCCAGGGCCCCATGAGTTGTCAGTCCGCCCCTGTCCCGGAGTTCACCAATTTGTTCCTCTTTATAGTAGCATGGAGCAGCCTTCAACCTTCTTAGAGCTATGCAGCTGTGGGACCTTTGCCTCATTCTTTACATTAACATGGTAGCCATGGTCACGTGGCTTGTGGGTCCATAAGTAATATGACTTGGCTACAACAGATATGTGGTTTATCTTCGGGCTCTAGGGTGAAGCTATCTTTACACCAAAATTCTTTGCATTGATGTGTGTTAATATTTTAAGAAGGGTTTCATTTTAGTTGACCCAAATAGCAAATTCAGTATTCGTGACTTTTCCGTGTACTGTAACTGGTGTGATCACATTCTGTTTATAAATATTATTTCTTATGCCTTTTACTGTGTTGGAAAATGCAGAATAGTGCATCAACTTAGAATCAGATGACAGTGTTTGTATTAATTGTCTGATTAGGTTTTATTCGTTATAGTATTTCACATTGAAGACCTAAAGTGGTATTAAAACCAAAAGCAAAACTTTAATATATTGCAGCTTACCAATGATTAGAGTTGGCTGTATTATTATTATTATTATACAGTATTTATATAGCGCCAAAGGGTATGCTCAGCGCTGTACATTATAGTGGGGGACAGAACATGAGACAAGACAGTAACAATACAATACACGAGGGGTTCGAGGGCCCTGCTCTTTCGAGCTTACAATCTAGGAGGGAATAGTTTTCTTTTTCTAGGCTTTTTTTTCTCTCTGTTTTTTACCTATTTGGGCAGTACAGAGGTTTAATGGTTAGCACTTCCACCTGGCAGTACTAGGGTTTTTGGTTTGAATCCCAACCACGGCACCACCTGCCTGGAGTTTGCATGTTCTCCCTGTGCCTGCATCAGGTACTCTGGTTTCCTCCCAGCCTCCAAAGACATGCTGATAGGTGAATTGGCTCCTGTCTAAATTGGCCCTAGTATGTGCATGTGTGAATGTAAGTCTGGGACCTTTTGATTGTACACCCCTTGGGGGTGATGTGAATATACAATTGAGGGTTAGGAACTGATGTGAATGTACATTTGAGGGTTAGGGACTGATGTGAATGTACAATATATATGTAAAGTGCTGCGTAAATTGATGGCGCTATCAGGGGCGGACTGACCATTTGGAAACTCGGGCACTACCCGAGGGCCCAGGGTCAGTAGGGGGCCCCATGAGATGCCCCTGGTACCTTTTTCATAGGCTTTTTTGAGTTTGGGCAAGGACACAGGGGCCCCATGATCCCCTTTTGCCCCTGGGCCCCATGAGTTGTCAGTCCGCCCCTGAGCGCTATATAAGTACCTGTAATAAATAAAACAAATAAAATTGATCTGGCCAGTGACACACCCCCTGTATTAAGATCAGGGAGTCCCTGGGGTTGGTGTCACCCGGTGCAGTAACACATGGTGTCACCCCTCCAGAGGTGGGCAGTCCCTGTCATGCACAAACAGCCTGGCTGGCTCTTCCCCTCCCTGTGTCCCCGTCGCACCCCCCAGACCGGTGCTGCAAGATCAGTTATCCCCATATAGGTTGCATGCCGACGATCCCCGCAAGATGGACCGGATCTGCGGATTTGGGAGCATAATGGATCGTCGGCTTGCTTTAAAACTTTCCTTTTCTGGTCTTCAAAGCTGCAAACTTCAGTGAAGCTGATTGGCTCCGTCTCCGAGCCTCCGACGACGTTAGATTCGATCACATGCGCAGTTCGGAACCGCCGGTTCCTTCCTGTTCCTTAATCCCGGTGTTTATTATTCGTTTGAAACTAATGATCAATCCAGAATTTGGCGCCACTGCCTTGCAAAAGCTCATGGAGAGGGTCCGGCCGATCGGGCCAAATATAATTTCTGCTCTTTTTTAATTTAGGTGTCACCCCGTGTGTCACCCCCCTCTCCCCCCCGCTCCCACCTGGGGACGCAACTGATTAAGATGCCTATACTCTGGATAAGGCAGCAACAGAAACACCTTTGGACAGCAGCATTGTCAGTCTGGGGGGGGGGGGCATAGTGTTGGATGCACTAGCGGATTTAGATACATTAACAATTTAAAGACAAACTCCAGCTAACACATTACAGTCAGTTACAGCAGCAGCTTTGTTCCTTTTCAGATAAAGGTTTTACATGAATAAATAAAAGTTGACCACCCCTGTCAGTGTTAAATGGTTTGTCTCAACCGTCTAACTCAACCTATCTCAACCAGGGTTCCATGAAACCCTTGGGTTCCTCCAGAAACTGCTAGGGGGTTCCTGGAGCAATGAGAAACAGCTGCATCCCAGATAGGTAACCACTGATACCTATAATGTTTTTAGATATCTCTAAGGCTGGCCATACATTATACAATTTTCTTGAGATTTTTGGTTTAGATTTACCAAATCGTTGTTAGGTCAAACCTAACAACACTTTCAATTGCATCCAATTAGGCAGGTTCTTGCACTACGTAGTTGAAGGTAAATCCAAAGGAAATTGGGCAGAAATTGGACAGAAAATTGCATTGCATATGGCCAGCCAAAGAGTAGGGGAGGGGTAGAAGTCACATCGAAAGTTGCAACCTTCCTCTACTCTTTTCCAAAAAATGTTTTGTCAGGAGATTGGCTTATTCTATTTTCATTGTCTTTGGAGTTGCTGTTTAACCTCCCTGGAGGTATTCCCGAGTGTAGCTCGGGGTAAAGTTTCAGAACCAAAAGCGGTAACCCCCCCCCCCCGAGCTACACTCGGGAATACCCTGCAGCGTTGCTCTGGGATCCCTGGATCACTTACCTTGTCCTGCGCTCCCGCGATGTCCCCCCTGAAGCATCCCCGGCCATCTCCTCTGGCCGATGCCGGGTTCCGTTCCCTGAAAGCGTCGGGACGTACGGGGGACGGAAACGGTGGGAGATTCAAAAATGTAAAAGTTTTACATACACATAATGTACTAAAATATGATAGTCTTCCATTACTATATCAAACCATTTCACATACATTTTGTCCCGAGTGCTTTGTCCGGCGCCCTGCCTGCATTTTTACTGTTCTTTCTGCCTGGAAACTGAGAAACGTCCATGGCGTCCAAAAAGCGCCCCTTTAGGTCAAAAGCGGTTTTAGACCGGCTAGAGAACAGTGATAGTAAATCAGAACCACTTGCAGAATTGAGTGATAATGATTCGAGGGGGAAATTCCTCATCAGACACTGAAAACGATTTTGCGACTTTGCTCAGCGATGTGCGAACTTGGCGCTATATTTCATATTTCAGTGTTTTTGGTTTGATTAAATTATTGAATTAAATGTATTATTATTATATTATTATTATTTTTTATGATTATTTATTATATTATAATTTATGATTTCGTGTTTCAAATTTTATCCTACCCGGGATGTTTACTAGACTCTTGTTCGGACAGATTTCAGTGAGTTATTCCTAAAAATTACTGGCCTACAATAAAAAAAATACATATTTCCATGCAAAAAAATGTACCGCTTTGAGCACAGAAATATGGACATAATCAGACCGCTAGGGAGGTTAAATTTTGAACCTGGCCAGGCCTGAAACCTATCTATGATAAGAACAGTCTGAAGTGCAGGTACCTTTGCCTACAAACACCGTTCTATACCAAGCAACGTCATGTATCTATATGTTGACACTTTCTTCCAGGGATGTTTACTAGACTCTTGTTCGGACAGATTTCAGTGAGTTATTCCTAAGAATTACAGGCCTACAATAAAAAAAAACTACAAATTTCCATTGAAAACAACGTACCGCTTTGAGCACAGAAATACTGACATAATCAGACCGCTAGGGAGGTTAAATGGACACTGTTAGTGTATATGTTACTGATGTTGTCTCCCTTTCAGTTCCGTTGCTGTGGCGTGAAGAATTACACTGATTGGCTGGAAATGAGGAACAGCAGTATCGTGCCCCACTCTTGTTGTACAGAGCACAGTGCATCCTGCCAAAGCAACCCCAGCACTTGGTGGACAGAGGTGAGTCCCTTATACTATCGGTAACATAAAAAGGTTCTCGGTAGAGTTTGTAATTGAATGGCAAATGAGATAAATCCGTCTCCTGCAGGAGTGAATAGCCAGCAGAGCTCGGCCCGACAATTTCCAAGGGCGTGATTATTTAAACCTCATTATAGAAGCAGCCTGCCATGTTACAGAAAGACTAAGGGGGAGATTTACTAAAACTGGAGGGTGCAAAATCTGGTGCAGCTCTGTATAGAAACCAATCAGCTTCCATTGTCAAAGCTTAATTGAACAAATTGAAGTTGGAAGCTGATTGGCTGCCATGCACAGCTGCACCAGATTTTGCACTCTTCAGTTTTACTAAATCTCCCTCTATGTATATTATTATTATTATTATACAGTATGTATAAAGTGCCAATAGTTCGCTCAGCGCTGTACATTACAAAGGGGGACAGAACATGTGACAGAACAATACCAATACAATGCAAAACATGAGGGGACCGAGGGCCCTGCTCTTTCGAGCTTACAATCTAGGAGGGAGGGGATGGTGGCACAGGAGGAGATAGCTGTGGGGGATGGAGTGGTAGGAAGAGTGGAGGAGGTCGGCAAGTTAGCAGGGGGTGGGGTAGGCTTCCCTGAAGAGATGGGTTTGCAGGGTGCGCCTAAAGGAGAGGAGAGTAGGTGATAATCTGATGGATTGGGGTAGGGAGTTCCAGAGGATGGGTGACACCCTGGAGAAGTCCTGGAGGCGGGCATGGGAGGAGGAGACCAGGGAACTAGGGAGAAGGAGGTCTTGAGAGGAGCGGAGTGTGCGTGTTGGGCGGTACTTGGATATTAGGTCAGTGATGTAGTTCGGGGCAGTATGGTGGACGGCTTTGTACGTCAGTGTTAGGATTTTGAATTTGATCCGTTGCGCAATCGGAAGCCAGTGGAGGGATTGGCAGAGGGGGGTGGCGGAGATGGAGAGGTTGGAAAGGTGAATGAGTCTGGCTGCCGTATTCAGGATGGACTGAAGCGGGGATAGCCCGCGGCGAGGCAGGCCAGTGAGGAGGGAGTTGCAGTAGTCGAGTCGTGATATGATGAGGGAGTGGATGAGCTGTTTAGTGGTTTCTGGGGTTAGGAACGTGCGGATTTTGGCGATGTTGCGGAGGTGGAGTCTGCACGAGTTTGTTAAAGATTGGACTTGGGGCTGGAAGGATAGGTTGGAGTCCAGAATGACACCAAGTACTCTGGCCTGTCTCCATGTACATGGGACGTTTTTGCTGCAGCTCTTTTTGACTTTTGACGGTTTTTCTACAGCTAGTAAACCCCCCCAGCATGTTACCCTATGTGTCCATGCACACATAGACTGGAATCAATGTTTTTTAGCTGGAAAAAAAACCCAGGACTGGTGGCTTTCTAGAGGAGTTTTTTAGCTGTAAAAGCGCACTGCAAAATGCGGTAAAACGCCGCAAGGATGTTTTTTTTGACCCCCCAAAAAATCAAATGAGATTAGCAGCACTCTGTTTAGGAGACTGCTTCTAATCTCAGCTTGTTACCTGTATGAAAGACACCTGGTAGCCAGAAATCCTGCTGAATGATAAGGGATCAAATACTTATTTCCCTCATGAACATGCAAATCAGTGCATCATTTGTTAGACACGCATTTCTTTGAATTTTTTGTTGCTATTCTGTCTCTCAGTGTTACAATACACCGAACATTCGATTTTTAGACCGATCATTTTTTTGTGAGTGGGCAAACATTGAACATCAGCCGGGGATCAAATACTTATTTCCTTTACTGTAACTCCAAAGACATGCTGATAGGTGAATTGGCTCCTGTCTAAATTGTCCCTAGTATGTGTATGTATGAATGTGAGTTAGGGACCTTAGATTGTACGCCCCTTGAGGGTTAGGGACTGATGTGAATGTACAATATATATGTAAACCTGATAGCGCTGCGAAAACTGATGGCGCTATATATGTTCCTGAAATAAATAAAAACAGAAAACTGGTAGGGGGAGAGAGAGTGCCACTGTCTAAGCATAGTAGCGATAGGAAAACCAATAAAAAAACTGGATGATAAGTATTGTACTCACATACACATGTAAAATATTGATACGCCGTGTTTATCAAATATGGCCCCACAAGGGGATATACTTGAAACCCAGCGCAAAAGGAGCAAGACCAATATACAACCTTCAGTGGTAAAGTGGCAAGAGGTGATTGGCAATAAATCTCAAAGCAATGTTCATTAAAAAATAAAGTCCATGTAATATAATGAATCCAATAGAGGGAATACAAAATGTTTTAGTGCCAACAGTCCAGGGGCAGACTGACCATTTGGAAACTCAGGCACTGCCCGAGGGCCTGGGGTCAGTAGGGGGCCCCATGAGATGCCCCTGGTACCTTTTTCATAGGTTTTTTTGAGTTTGGGCAAGGACACAGAGGCCCCATGATCCCCTATTGCCCGGAGGCCCCATGAGTTGTCAGTCCTCCCCTGCAATAGTCTCTCCTTAAAGAGAGCTTTGGAGTGTTCCCACCAATGGTCATGTCAAAACAGAACAAAGGGAGGGGAAAGAGAGCGTTACTGTCTAAGCATAGTAGTGATAGGGTAATCCGAGGAGCAGGGCCCTCCTATCCCTCTTGTATTGAACTGTATTGTTGCTGTATTGTCTCCCGTTATATTGTAAAGCGCTGAGCAAACTGTTGGCGCTATATAAATCCTGTATAATAATAATAATATATAAATCCTGTATAATAATAATCAATAAATCTGGAGGATGAAGGAATTGATACCATTGAATGGTCCGCACGCTCGCCCACCTAAATCCAATAGAACACCTCTGGGATGTCATGTTTCGGTCCATCCAACGCCACCAGGTTGCACCTCAGACTGTCCTGGAGCTCAGTGATGTCCTGGTCCAGATCTGGGAGGAAATACCCCAGGACACCATCCGTCATCTCATTAGGAGCCTCCCCCGATGCTGTCAGGCATGCATACAAGCAAGTGGGGGCCACACAGACTACTGAGGACCATTCTGAGTTGCTGCAATGACATTTCAGCAAAATGGACTCGCCTGCTGCATTATTTTTTCACTTTGACTTTCGGGGTGTCTTTGAATTCAGTCCTTTGTAGGTTTCATTTCCATCAAATGATGGGGCCTCCTTATGTTCCTAACACATTACCCAGTCCAGATCAGTATATAGATCCAGCAGGAGATTTGTCCCCATTGAGATCTGATATCTATATACAATATAATCCCAGAAGTAAGGTTGTAATTAATTAGTTTGGTGCTAACACTGCTGGGCTGGGGAAGGCGGCCTTATGAGCAGGCTGCGAATCCAAGTGCTATAAAAGAGAAAAGGGATGGGGGGAGAGGTGTCAAGCCCCCAATAGTGTAGCCAATTTTATTGAATAAAAAAAGTTATAAAATGCAATAATTATGCACTCACAGACATCGTATGCATCCATGCATCGGGCAGCACAGTGGCTAAATGGTTAGCACTTCCACCTGGCAGTACTAGGGTCATTGGTTCGAATCCCAGCCACAGCACCTCCTACCTGGAGTTTGCATGTTCTTTCTGTGCCTGCGTGGGTTTCTTCCGGGTACTCCAGTTTCCTCCCATACTACAAAGACATGCTTTTAGGTTAATTGGCTCCGGTCTAAATAGGCCCTAGTATGTATGAATGTAAGTTAGGGACCTTAGATTGTACACCCCAGGGGCGGACTGACCATTTGGAAACTCGGGCACTGCCCGAGGGCCCGGGGTCAGTAGGGGGCCCCATAAGATACCCCTGGTACCGTTTTGATAGGCTTTTTTGAGTTTGAGCAAGGACACAGGGGCCCCATGATCCCCTATTTTCCGGGGGCCCCATGAGTTGTCAGTCCGCCCCTGTACACCCCTTGAGGGTTAGGGACTGATGTGAATGTACAATATATATATGTAAAAGCGCAGCATAAATTGATGGCTTTATATATCTGAAATAAATAAATATAGAATTTAATAGATTTTTCCCCATTGAGATCTGATGTGTTTTCATTTCCTTTCATTTTTTTGAGCTGTGTATGAAACCCCTGATTTTTGACCTGAACTGTTAGACAGGGTTAATTTGGTTTTGTTGCAGGCTGGCTGGTAAGTGAACTTGGAATTTCTGTTTGTTTGTGACCACAGGTTGGGGTGGTTGCCATTTGTTGGTATAGTTGTGTCCAGGGGCGGACTGACCAATTGGAAACTCGGGCACTGCCCGAGGGCCCGGGGTCAGTAGGGGGACCTATGAGATGCCCCTGGTACCTTTTTCATAGGCTTTTTTTGAGTTTGGGCAAGGACACAGGGGCCAGTCCGAGCGATTATTGCATCATGTGACGTCATCCAAATGCAATGAATGCAATTGTTAATTTTGTCATCATAACTTTTTTCAGATTCGTTGATATTCGTTACTATGTCTGTTCAGAGACTCGTGTCTGAATCTCCATAAATTAAATTTTCTTCCGAAAAATGAATCAAAACAAAAATGCACATGTCTATTGTTGGGATACATGCAGAGCTTAAAATGTTTGTAAACAGGGGCGGACTGACCATTTGGGAACCCGGGCACTGCCCGAGGGCCCGGAGTCAGTAGGGGGCCCCATGAGATGCCCCTGGTACCTTTTTCATAGGCTTTTTTGAGTTTTGGCAAGGACACAGGGGCTTCATGATCCCCTGTTGCCCGGGGGCCCCATGAGTTGTCAGTCCGCCCCTGGTTGTGTCCATTGGAGCAGCATGGAACAAACATTTTTTATCAGGAGACATCAGCAATGGCAGCCTATAGCCTCAGTCATTTAATTGACATTTTCCAGTTTAGTGACATGATAATGGCAATTAACAATCTTCCCTAAAATGAGATTTTTGCAAGCCCACGCTTTTCCTGAATTAGATTTGTGACTTTTTATTGAATCTTTGATCATCAAGAATGACAGCAATGCTCCCCAGATATCTTCCAGGGAAACCAGACTCTGTTAGTGAAGTTATTTATAACCCGTGAGTGTTGTCAGGGTTCATAGATTATCCCGCAGGCTAACAGTACTTGTGGTTTGCCCTAAATCCATCTG